AGCCCGAGCGGAGAATGGTATGAGGTGAGCTATTTCCTTGGATGTATTTTTATTAATTAAATCAAACAATTTAAATTAATAGATTAATTGTTTTGAATTAATTAATTAAAATTCCATATTTTTCCTTTCTCTGAAATTACCTTATTCTTGCTATTCTTGTCAAACTAAAAAGATGGATAAGTAGTTTCCTCGAAATCCAAAGCTCAGACCCACACTAAAGAAGCTTCTAAGACGTGTAATTAGGGGAGGCAGCCGCGAAACCAAGAGTTAGCTCCGAAACAGATACTCGAGTGAATGTATTTTAGAGTCTTAAGAAGAGGATTCCGAATGTCGCTTCTCTCAGCTTCATTTTTACCAAAATGTTTTTATTTCTCTTTGACCAATTAATTCAATTTATAAGGAGCAATCCCAAGAAAATAGAAACAGTAGTAATAGTCTGTGTTCATCACCATGTTATTTTAAACATTGAAAAATAGGGGAAAAAACCTAGTCGTGTATGTTTATTCTTTTTCCGAAGTTTTTACAATGGATCTGTCAGTGTCATAAGAAGAATACTTGGATGTATTTTTCTCAGCTGCCTTTTAAGTGAATGCTAGTATTAAACATTAGCAAAAATTGCTTTACCGGCTACAGAATACATACCAGGAGCCTCGTTTGATTTTGTTCTCTTTTCAGAATTTTGGATCTCAAGTTTTGCCATTGAATACTGTGGGCAGCCGGCTCAGGGTGAGAGTGCGAAGGGCGGGGGGCCAGCTGCTAGTGCTTGTGTGATGGGGGAAGGGGAAGGAATCAGACTAGAAGAGGACAAAAAGGAAAAGTGAACAAGACAGATGCGCACGTGGTAGAAGCCATCAGAAGTCCCCAGTAATGTCAAGTCTCCACCAAACTGGATTTTTTTTCTTAATTGTTTCTGATCAACATCTAGTTTTAAGTGTCGATTTTATTCCACCAATTCCTTTTTGCTAAATATGTTTTTGGATAACTGTCTTATCACTTCATTATTGTTCCGAATTCTCCAAATTTATATTTTATCTTTCTCTTAGCATATGTCATTCATCATTTTTTTTCCTCTTATTTCCTTACAAAGAAATTAAATTGTTTAAATGTCTATCGCATCTAAGATTTAATTTTCCTCCTTAAGTATCTTGAAATTCTGGACTTTGTTATTTTTGCCTGCTAGTGGCTTTTTCCATCAGCAGGGATGAAAACAGTCAATAGAAATCCGTTGCTGACTCAATGATTGTATGGAGGGTTTACCATAATGCATATTGGAAGCGCCTTTGAAACCCTGTCGCTGAATGGAAGCTGCCCTGGCTTGTGTTTCATGGCCTTCTAATGTTAGACCGTAATCTCATTTAGCATTTTCCCGGAGTGAAAACAGTGCATTAGGGCTGCATAACAGGCATCGCTGATCAATCAGGAAGCAGAGCTTTGCCCCTACAGATTAATCCAAGAAAAACATCTCAGAGTCCACTCCCGGAACTGGGAGACAATTATGCTGAATTCCACCCCTCTTTTCCCCTTCCTACCATCTAATCATCGATACGGGTTGAAATATGTACAAAATTTCAGATGTCTGTGGGCGCGCGCACGCGCGCGCGCACACACACACACACACACACACACACACCACAGACTACTAGATAGGAAATCGGGGGCCCAGGAAGTGAATAGTGTTGATTTGTGGCATTAAAAGTATATTTCTACGCATTTAAAATCGTAAAGAACTCATGGACTTTAACTCATATGCCTAACAGCTCAACTCAGGGGAAATGCTTATATACGATTCTTCCTAAGGAGTCCATAGTATTAGGTGAAATTTATTTAAAGAAAAAAAACATACCACCTTCTTTATGATATGCAGTATGTGGATGCTCATTCTTTACAGTCTTCTCCTCTCTGTTAACTAACGGGAAAGGGCCACCTACCTGGTCAGTATTGTTCTTGCCTTCTCTCCCCATCCTTTTTGTAAAAGCTATGCTCCTTTGGAGAGACGGAGGTCCTTGACGAGGGCAGTCCAGGAGCTATTCTAGGCATTAGCCATGCATGTGCTAGGTTCGCCTGACCTAACCCTTAATCATATTTTATTCACTATTTACCCAGTAGTGTGTTTTGCTATCATCAGTCAGGTTAGTGGTGTCTGTGCTTCTACTCTTCAGAGCACAGCTGACTCCTTTTAGATGCTGATGTTCACGGTAGGGGATTAAGGAAATCCATGTCCAGAAAAAAATCACAGACATCTGAACTTCAAAATCTTAAAGAGAATTGAAACTCTTGGGATTGGATTTAAATTCTGTTCTTAGGTATTTGGCAGAGCAGTAAGGTAATGAATAAGAAAGTAAAAGCAATGTTATGTAAAATTTGTGGGCTTTTTTTTTTTTTTTTTTCTGTATATCTGCTTTCTTTAGAGGGTAGTAGGAAGTAAATTCCCTCGGGGACCAGTAACATAGTTTGCATTTCAGGTTTCTATTCCAGCAAAATATATATTAGCTTAGTGTGTTGGATGAAAGTAATAAGGAGGCAAATCGTCACCCAGGGGTTTCCTTATTGATGACAGATATTCCTCCTGTGTTCTCTAGGGGTTTTTCAGAATCCATTAAATTTAAAATAACGCTACTTCAAGATTACTATGGCAATAACAAAATTTAAATTTCAAAAAAAAGAACTGGTATGAAAAACTGGAAGCCTTTTGTATTAAGCAAAACTAATTTGAAAAAAAAAAGTTTGAATTCCTGGATTAAAAGTAATAATATTATGTATTTTCTCTGTGTGTTTAGCCCTTATAATCAGAGTTCCTCTATCATCTTAAGAATATTTTATTTTTGTTTGTATAATTTATTTGGTTTATTCTATTATTTTTAAGTGTATATTATAAGCTTTTTTAGAAGCACTTAAATTTGGTATTGTATATTCACTGAAAGCAATCTAACTAAAATCTGAGATTTTTAAATATAATTAGTAAATTTAGCTCATGGAATTAAAAAAAATTTCTCTTTACCCATTTGTATTCTCAATAATTCATCACATGACTTCCATAAAATATGTCCTTATCAATAGCTGAGGTCACAAAGAAAATAAGACAGGTTCCTTCTTGGGGTTTGCATTCTAGTAAAAGTAGGCTAGTAAATGCACTATGGTGTGTATTGACTGTAGTGTAAACAGTGTTACGTGCACGGCGAAAGCAGTTCATACAGGCTGGGTGGAGCCGCCGTAAAGGGAATGACACGCTGTCCCGTGGATGAGGAGAGCTAGTGGAAGCCATGTAGAGAAAGTTCCATTTCAGTACTTGGCTCAAGTATCTAAAGAAAAGTAGCTATTTTCCAAATACATAGGACTATACAACGGCTGGTAGTCTGGGTGCAGAGCACCCCAGTATGTAGCGGAGCATGAGCAAAGATGCAAAAGGACGTATAAGAGCCAAACCCTGAAAATGTGGGGAATTGAGGCTAAGGGGTAGTCGGAACCTGATGAAGAAAACCTGCCTGTTGATCTCATTTTATTTAGGGAGAGATACCATTTCAGATTTATGTATTAGAAAGAACGTTCTGGAAGAACCTTCTTCCGAAAGGCAGGAGTAGCAGGTGAACCTCAGAGGCAGAGGTTCCAGTTTGGAGGTCATCGTTTAAATCCAGAACATAAATGATTAGGAGCCAGTGTAAGGACGGTGTGTATGGAGAGAGGACCAGGCTGCAGGATCTCGAACTTTCTGACCAAGTGGATGTGGGAGGTGGAAGTGAGGGTGCCCCGGTTTCTGATTGGGCTGGCTAGGCTGGGGAGCACCGGCGCCATTCCCCTGGTGTAGGTGTCGGTTTGCATGGGAACGTTACAGTGTCCTGAGAGGCTCGCAGTGGTGTCAACTAATGGAACTAATTTCATAGAAATCATTTGCCTTGTGTGGTATCTTCCCTTTGTGATATTATTTCTCAACTTTTTTCTTTTTTACATTTGAAACATCTGTTTAATGTTTTATATGTTTTTTTAGCCTTGCTCTTTATTCTGATTGGAGTCCATTTGTGTCAGTGACCCACCCGTGTTTTTGTTTTCAGGCGGTATGAAGTTCATCCAATCTGTGCTGATCTGCAGGCCAAAATCCTCCAGTGTTACCGCCAGAACGCCCAGCAGACCCTCAGCTGCTCTGCCCTGGCCAGCCAGTACCTGCGCTGTGTCAACCAGGCTAAACAGGTGGGTGTGCGAGCCACGCTAACGGGGGCACCAGAAGAAGCAAGCCCAGCATCATGGGATGGGCTAAGGGATTGAATGGGCAATGTGTGTGGAGCAGTTTTAGGAACCAAGCTAGTCAACATCATCAAGAGTTGCTGTCACAAGCTGGTTGAGTTGTAATCAACTTCCATCCAGGTGGTTGTAGGAAAAGCCCATATTCTCCTCGTGTTCAACTCATTACTTGCAGAAAAGAAAAACTTCTTGCTAAAATAATAATGTTTCTCATTCTGAACTTTTGTCCTCTGTAATAATTGTGTCCTCAAGGTCATTGCCCCCTATTTCTGAGCCAGTACTCAAAGCCAGCAAAGAGGAAGGGGCCAGCAGCTTCGGATCCAAAAGCAGCAAATAGTCTTGCAGAGAGCCTGGTTTAAAGAGATAAAAGACAAACAGAAACATAAAACAAAAACTGACCATTCAAGCACCGCTCAATTTTCTACCAGTCAGTAGGGTCCACTCAATTAGGCAGGGGAAGGAAGGCCAGAAATGGGATTTAGGAAACAGTTTCCATTGCTTTTATGTACAGTAGCCATATTCTCTTGACCTTTCATATCAGAATAATACGATGTTCACAGGCCATGTGTTTTCTCTCATTTATGTACTTTTGTAAAGCTAATGATAAACTCTGAAGCAGATGATCAGTTCTCGCAGGTCATGTAATTGCCTTTCATTTAACCGATTTAACAGTGGGATGTAGGTTGTTCTGAGAGACAACAATCTCTAGAAATTGTTGGAAACCTCGATTCTTTCTGCTGACAAACTCCCTAGAGTTGACCTTCTAACGCGGCCGAATCTAGCGTTTGAGCTTCACAGCATGCCCTCCTGCAGTCTGATTTGCTGTAGTTAAATAATACCCCTTAGCGTAAATGTCTGACACTATAAATATCTGATCGGATGGTTGGTATTGTCTGCATAGCTGGAACATAACGGCAATGTTAGTAGAAAAATGTACAGGAGTTCCCCGCCCCTCCCCCCATCCACAGTTTTGCTTTCCATGGTTTCAGTCACCTGCGGTCCGCTGCAGTCTGAAAATATTAAGTGGAAAATTCCAGAAGTGATTCAAAAGTTTTAGATCGAGCTCCATTCTGAGTAGCGTGCTGAAACGGTGTGCTGTCCTGCCTCATCCCACACAGGATGTGGGTCACCCCTTTGTCCAGCATGTCCGTGCTGTACGTACAGTGCAGTAGGGCATTTCGAGAGAGAGTGACCACATTCGCATAACTTTTATTACAATACATTGCTATGATTGTTCTATTTTATTATTAGTTGTTGTTAATCTCTTACTGCGCCTAATTTATAAGTTAAACTTCATAGTGTGTATGTGTAGGAGAAGACAGTACATACAGGGTTCGGTATTATCTGTGGTTTCAGGCACCCACTCCGGGTCTTGGAACATTTCCCCCACAGATAAGGGGGGAGTGCCATAGTCAAGATTTATTAAAAGGCTTTGTTGTCTTTAAAAGCCTAGAAGCTTGAGGCTTTTTCCGTTTCTTGCTTATAGTGGCACTTGTATAACTCTTAGTAGTATGCCAGGGATTCTTTTCTTTAAAAGTCTTTAGTAGAAGTAATGCTGCGAATGTTAAGTGAGTACATTTTATTTAGCAAAAGCAGCTTCTGATACGCTCTGAACCAGCGCCTACCTTCAGTGTTAATACCAACGCAAGCACTTGGGACCTGTACGTCGACCCATGGATTTTACTAACTTGACATTAGTGCCACATTGAGTTGGAGGCGGGCAGTCAGTGCAAAGAATGACTGTGATAAAGTGTGCTTTCAGAGCTGGTGTCTGACGTAGGTGCCTATTTCCACGGTATGATCTGTAACATTTAACAGAATGGTAACTGCACGGGCGTCTGGAGTACCGACTCCATCCGGCCTGTCTACCGTGTGTTGACTCATCTGCACATAGCCCCACGAGATCAATGGCGTATATTTATAGAATAAAACAAAGTTAACTTGTGACAAAATCAAAGACGCCACATGGCGCCATCAAGAGTTCAAATTGGGCAGATCTGAGTTTGTATCCAAACTCTCTGACCTTGGGTCTTAATTTTTCTCATATATGAATGTGGGGTAGTTATCTCCAGTGTTATGAGGATTACATTTATATAAATTATTCAATAAATCTTATTTTTTTCTTTCCTCAGTTGCATAGTTCATGCTGAAACCAACTAAACAGATTGGGCAAAAGCATCAAATTATTCCTAGTGATTTCAAAAGAGACCCTCCTTTCCCACTCACGCAATCTGCAATAAAATTTAATATTATTTTCAGTGAGTATGTTTCAAGTGCCTATTGTTTTGACAACTCTTACATTGTAGTATTAGGGAATGTATAACAACAGTAACATTAAAGAGATATATATCCCCCAAACCTTTTTATCCTAAGATGGGCAACACCGAAATGGGCAAAAGCCAAGAAACATTAATACCTTGTATTTCTTTCTGTAGTACATTAAACTTGAAGGTGATTTCACATTCATTCTCTTACTTGGTTTTTTCTGACAACTTGAGATGTAAATAAAGATGGTTTTATTCTCACCGTTTTACAGTTGAGAAAATTGAAACTCAGGGAAGTCTCGATGGTAAATTTAACAACTAGATCAAGATATACTTCGCCATAAAAACAAAAAATTCGAAAGTAAATACAGTTTGGTTTTTGAGTTGGGTGTGTGAAGACACATCCATCCATTATCCGCTAATATAGAACTAAGTCAATGAGGGAAAATGTGTGATAATCATCAAGTGAAGGGAAAAAACTTGAAGATCAAATTAAGTCATGCAAGAGACCGGTGGTAACCAGTAGCGGGGGGTGGAATTAGGAAGGCCACAGGCAAAGGTGCAGCCCACACTGCCCCATTTCAAAACCACGCCAAAATGGCCACAAAGGGTTTATGTCAGTGTTTCATGAGTAGTGACTTTTCCTATAATACCACGTGTTCCTTTTACTGCTTGTGAAGTTAATCTGATCTCGTGACCCCACCTCTGCCTGTTGTTAAAAGGGACGTCGGCAGTATATGTGGTCCCGGTGCTCTGTTGCAGCATTTCCTGGTCAACACCTCTTCTTATGTTTTCTTGTTAAAAGCAAAGAACAAGCTGGACATGCTCACATGGAAAATACGAAACATGACAACAACCCATTAGGTTCATTGTCCATTTCCGGCATAGTGCAAGAGTTTTCCCCTTGGAATAATTCCAATAGCCAAATCCACTCCACTTTTAAATGACTCATAAGTTTGGGCTTTCACTGGTTCCCTTGGGGCGTTGTTCTGTAGACTAATAGATCTTACCAATAGGAAGACTTCCGGATATTCCTTAGCCTTACATTTCCTTTCTTATTCATCCACTTGTTCACGTCAATCTTTCTTCAGATATTCTTAAACAATTCTTCGTAGGCCGACATGAGACATTTAGATTGTTACTTCCAGTATATTAAGTTATGTATTCTTCACAAGGGGAAAGAGATACTATATTGTTTTAATTATTATTTCTAAGTCTTAAAAGCTACTGGCTAGCTATGTGATATACAGCAAATCAAAATGTAGGAGGATAGATTGATAGACTTCTGTGTCTTTTATTTCTCATCGCTGCTTAGCCTCATAGCTTTCTAAAAGCTCCCCAAGATTGAATTACCTGTTCTTACATTAAAGCCTGATTGCTTCACCAGTCTGGCTTCACCTACCTTACAGGAGACGATGGAAGAGAGGGAAAAACAGGAAGCCAATAGTATTTGCCCACTAGTGGACCAAAAGAGGAGTTCTGTTTATAAAAGGGGAGGGGCTTGCTCCCAGATCTGCATTGCTGTGTTCCCTGGGACACTCCACTGCCCCTCACTAAACTTGCAGAATCCAGCTGCTTAGGGCACACTGCATCTAAGCATTCCAGCTCTTTCCTCAGCCCTGCCGCTACGGACAAAAAGGTTCAGAAGCTGGCTGGACTCCTGGGGAACATTCTGTGTTCACTGGGGAGGTAGGGCTTATGGAAAACGCTGTAGTGAACGTTCACATCTAGTCCTGACAATGTGGGCTTCAGTTTCTTTTTTGGTAAAGTCAGGGTTTGAACCAAGTGATCCACGGGGTCTTCCAGCTCTGTTTTTCCAGAACTGATTCTACATGCATATTCATGAGCACACTCAAATTAAGAGACATGGCCTTTTGGGTACAAGCAGCACCCCTGCTTTGGGGACCTCCAGCATTTGTTCCTCTGCCTCTTAGATTCTGGTGTCAGCCTTAAGCTTTCAGTCCAGAAGAACAAGTGCAGATCTGATTGGTCTCCATGTCACCTCGTCTCTCACAGTTCTGTATCCTTTCCTTGAAGCTAGTACTTCGGACTGCCCTGGGGAAGCCATGGTGGCTGAATAAACTTGAAGCGGGGGAAACAGTTTCATAGTTTCTCCAGAATCAGTGAAGTGAAAATTGGCTATATCAGCACTGCCTGGCAGAATGTAGCCTGCCAGCTAATAAACTGCACTAGAAAATGCAGGCTACCTACCTCTAGCCAGCTCTAGGCCCCTCTGTACTGCAAGGACTTTCACCCATGTGGCATGGGCCACGTGGTGAGGGATTGTGGAGAGAGAGCAGGAAGCCAGGTCAGAAGAGCCAGGGGAAGACCAGGGCTAAAAGCGAGGGCCAGACCCGGGAGATGTCCAAATGAGGACCCCCAACTTGGGCCTATATAAGTGAGGCACCCCCAACTTGGGCCTATATCTT